TTCCTAAAATCCTAAATTAATGTTTTGCACACGTATATGAAAACTTTAGCATTCCGTACAAAGCACAGCTTAGTTTTAAAAATAAATTTAAAGCTATTTAAAGATGAAAACTTATCTCTGAACTATTTGTTTAAATTTGAAAATAAACTGCACGTCACATTCTGTTAGGAACGTGAAAACAGGACTCTCACAATTCAGTTGCAGAGAAATATGTAACAGGGACTGAAGCAGATTCAATTTTTCTGGTGCAGTTAAAAGATCAAAAAATTTAGGCCAATGTTACTGGTCAACTACTTCCATGAAGGTAATGCAATATTGCAGATTTATTTGCATAGTGATATCAAGAAGGAATTCATGTTATTTAAATGATGATTGAAGGCTTCCTCAGTTAATTCCAAATAGTTTCTCATTCAGAGAAATTTATGAACAGAAGAGTAGAGTAGGCTCACATAAAAGCGTAGAGTATCATTCATACCAATCAGAAGAAAAATGACATATTAAGTTATATGTGTGTAGTGCATTTTTGTGTATATACATGTGTGTGTGTCTGTGAAGACTCTCTCTCTGTGTCTCTCTGTCTCCTCTCTCTATGTCTCTCTGTCTCTCTCTGTCTCTCTCTGTCTCTCTCTGTCTCTCTCTCTCTCTCTGTCTCTGTGTGTGTGTGTGTGTGTGTGTTTGTGTGCATGTAGATGCCAGAGGTCGACATCAGAAGGTTTCTCAATCCACATTGCCTTCTTCAGACAGAGTCTCTCATTAACCTGCAACTTGCTTATTCGGATAGGCTGACTGGTCAGGGAGCTAAAGGAATCTTCTTGTCTCTGCCTCCCTAGCACTGGGATTATAAATGCTTGCCACTACAGAAGGCTTTTTACTTGAGTGCTGAGGACCAAATTTGAGTCTTTGTGTTTGCAAGGCAAGTACTTTGCAGAATGAATTATCTATCTATACTTGATGCATTGCTCTAAACAAAGTAGCATTGGGTTATTGACTAAATTATCTTTGAAATTATTTCCTTTTTATTCTTTCAGAACTTTCTTACTAACGGTGTTTCTTTAGATAGGAACAGAAACAAAAATGTGTTAAAACATCCTGAAAAACAGAGGTTATGATTTTTGTCATTATTGGACCCCTGAACAGAGTACTTATAGGTATTTATTCAATAAATACTTGTTAATTAATAAGTGATGTCCTATTTCCTTTAACGAAAACTTCATTCAGCCTAAAATATAGTGCCTGTTGATACTTCTTTCTTAATTTTTAGCCTCCAATATCTGTTAAACATAAAAATCTGGTTATTTATTCCTTTCTAACATCATGTTAAATTAAAATTTTAATTTTATGTATATGAATATTTGTCTGCATGCATGTATGTATACCATGTGCATACAGTGCCCACAGAAGTCAGAAGAGGATCTCTTGGAACTGGAGTTATCTTCGTCAAAAATCTAGTGATTTTAATTGTGTCAGTTTATTGCTGGGTCCTCTTTCCCAGGCATTGGTCTACATGCTTGTTTTTGTGCCAGTGCCATGCTCTTCGTGTTACTATGGCTTTGTAGTATATGTTGAAATCAGGTGTAATACCTTCACTATTATTCTTTTAGCTAAGGATCACTTATAATATTCAGAGATTTGTTTTCTGTGTGATTTTGTATGAATTTTAGAATAATTTATTCTATTTCTGTGAAGAATGTCATTGGCATTTTGGTGGAGATTGTGTTGAATCTGTGGACTGCTTTTTTAAATATAGCCACTTTCACAAAGTTAGTTCTACCAATCCATGAACACAGACTTTATTTCTACCTTCCAGTATCACCTTCAGTTTCTTTCTTCATTGTTTTAAAATTTTTCATTATAGAGGTTTAGGACTACTGTAGTTAGGTTTATTCCAAAACATTTTATTTGTTTTTAGATTCTTGTGAATGGAATTATTTTACTAATTTCTTTTTTGGATCTTAGATTTTTTTAAAAAATTTATTTATTATTTTTATTTTATGTGTATGTGTGTATTGCCTGCCTGTAGGTAAGAGTACTTGTGTTGTGCAATGCCCGCGGAAGACAGAAGTGGCCGTCGGATCCACTGGGACTGGAGTTATGGACAGTTGTTAGCTGCCATGTGGGTGCTGGTATTCAAACCCAGGTCTTCTGCAAGAACAGCAAGTGTTCTTAACAGCTGAGCCATCTCTCCAGGCCCTGATCATAGATTTTATATAGGCAAAATGAGATATGCATATAAAGAAAATATACAGATACTTGACATGAGGGATGAAGCAAGACTGGGAGAAGAAATTTGAATAGTGGGTTGGGGAAAAATTGATGGTAAGAATAAGGTCAAAGGACATGATATACTTGTATGAAAATGTTTATGAAATCCATTACTATGTAGAATGAATACATGCAAATAATATATTATCATGATTGGCTTGCTGTTGATTAGAAAATTATTCATCTTCCACCAACTGAGGCAGCATTTTCCATGGGTCATGGATTTCAACTTCCATGTACATTTAAGATGGTCACTTTTGTATTGCACAACTCAGCCATGATAGTTAACTGTTAATGGTCAACTTGATGAAATCTAAATCATGTAGGATGCACCTAGAAGCAATGAGCATACTTGCAGAGAATTATATTGATTGCTTAATTGAGGTGGGAATACCATTCCACTGTGGATGGCACCATCTTCGATTGGAATCCTGGATAGTATAAATTAAGAAAGAGAACTGAAAAAAGCACATATCCATGCCTGTCTGCTTTCTAACTATGTCTGTCTAACTATGACTTCCTCACCATGATGAAGAGTACTTTGAACTGTGAACTAAAATAAGTCTTTTTTTGCCTTAAGTTGTGTTTGTCATGGTGTTTTATCACAATAGGAAAAGAAACTAAAATGGAAATTGGCAGATAAATGAGGGTCATTGCTTTGGTAAACCTAATCATGTGGTTCATAGGCCTTTGGATCTGGTTTGTGTCTAGCATATGGAAGAGTTTGGAATTTGGGCTTAGAAAAGCCCTTTGAATGCTGTAGATAGAATTTAGTGGTCCTATTCCAGTGGGACCTTGAAATAAAAGACTTCTGAGAGGGAGATGCACAGTGGTGGCCTAATTCATGAGGTTTCAGAGGGGCATAAGGACTCTGTAAATAACCATGTTAGGGGTCAGCTGTGTAATACTTTGTCCAAAAATCTGGCTTCATTCAGTCCATATCCTGAGAACTTGAGTGCATTTGTAATGTTTGGTGAAGGAGAGGTGTGAGAGGAAGCGCACATTCATTGTTCTCTGTTTCTGATTATGGATGTGATATGATCAGATGCTTCAATCTCCTGCCACCTCTTCGGATTACTATGATGGATTGTACCTTGAAGTCTGAGCCAAAATAAACCCTTTCTCCCTTAAGTTGCTTTAGTTGGGGTATTTTATCACAACAGAAATGGATCTAAGCCAAGATTTGCTTATATTCCTCATTTGGGTAAAACTTTTTCTGAGGCCTCATGACATAATAATATTATACCCATTTGTTTTTTCTTCTATAATATAAGAAGCTTTAAAACTCTATTATATTCAAAAAGAAAGGTCTAGAATAAAAGAAGTTTATAGAGACCCCCTTAATATCTTAGAGACTCAAATTACCACAGAATTTAATAGTAAAATCAGCATCTCTGGGGGAGGAACCTTCAATTTCAAAACTTCCCTTTTGTTTCACTTAAAGTTTTCAGATGAAAGTCTGTACATGACAGTAAGTTAATCCTGCCAGGGTGGGGGACAATATTAAGGTTATGAAATCCTTCAAATTTGGATTTGGCATACTCATCATTTCTTTCTGAAAAATAACTTTGTTTTTTAGGCATTTTGCTTTCTCCACCCATGCCTAAGGCTACTCCAACAATGTAGTTCGAATATGGTTCTAAGAACTTGATATGTTCGAATTAGTATTGTCAAAGATAAGTATATGAAGAAGCAATCTTTAATCCCAAAGGAGACTACAAATCCTACATTTAGTCACCTTTATGAGAGCTCTTATTAAGCACAGTTGTTTTGGTGACCTGAAATCATTGCATTTTGATGACCCAATAAGGTTTTTACTGATTCTCAAAGAAATTCATATTAATGCCATTCTTTAATTCTTAAAACAGACAATATGGCAAAACATAGCAATGTAGCCTAGACACTCCAATCTAACTTGGAAACATCTACCTCATATAGCCAACCTAAAGTCTTGTGTGACTCACACATATGCATGCATACACATAAAAAGAAAAAAAAAAGGAAGATGATGATAGAGTAAGATGGGCGTGTGCATTGCAGGAAGCTCAGTGCATTCTTGACACATTTTCTTTCTAAGCACTACAGCAAAGGCACATGACCTTTTATGTATTTAGATGGAAATATCATTCATTGTATTCATGGGATATAATGATATCTGGAAGCATACTATCTTCTGTAAGTTTAACAAACTGTGGAATAACTATCTCATAGCCAGCAGAGTACTGGAAATGGATCTCCCTAAGAAGTAGATGCCAGAAGACTGAAGCAGGCAGAAGTCATGGTAAGGAGTAAAATAAGCTAGAAAGAGAATGAGGAGTTGATGTATAAAGTGATACTTACTGCTTTTTGTAAAAGGTGAATAGGATTTTAGAAAAATCACAATTCATTTTTAAAGGCAAAATGAAATTCTAAAAGTTAAGCTGCTTTTGAATAGCCTATACTTTAGCTGTTCAGAACACACTGAGAAAACTTTGGTAATACGTGGCAAATTAAAGTCAGACACTCTGTTCCTGATTGAAGAAGTGTACAAATCATGGAAATTCTGAATTTATCAAAGCCAAAATTTGAATTTACTTTGCCCACAATATCCTCTGAGGCAAATGCTTTCCCAAACAACTGAGTGATGCTGACGAACATTTCTACCTCCCATTAGAGGTAAACGATTTTGTTTTTTTTTCCTGTTTTCCTGAATAAACTACGTTACTTCCTCTTGTAGCTGTACAAGCCTGCAGTTCACTACAGGATATCTGGGTAGAAAGGGTAAGATTCTTGGCTTTCTCTTCATACATTCAAAAATAGAACTAAAAAACCTCTGTGAACTGAAAACGACAGTGTGAATTTCTGCTGCTTCCACTGAAAACTTAATTCTGAATCTGCTAATATTTTACTTTGGGGGGCATATATTATTATGAAGAATGGAGACTTCAGTGAGGTAATATCTATTTATAAGTTTAAGTGATTAAAATGTTCGCCGAAACTGCTGTATGCTTTCTGAAAGGAAATGTGGCTGTCTAGATAGAAAACTCCTTTCTCTACAATTTAATATACCACTGACAAAAACCAGGGGTCCAGACTTCTATTAAACACTGTTCCTAACAAATCTCTGCTAAAATTAAGATTTTAGTTAATTAACTGCATTTTTGTTAGTGTGAGCCAAGGAAAGAAAATAAACTTTCAATTTTAAATCTATGGTTTGTGTCAGCCAAATTAAGCAGCATTCAAAAAATAAATGTATCTAAGTGCCTAAATCTTTTCATAAGATGAGACTTGACATGTTTTCTTGGATTGGGACATTTTCCATGCATGCATTTTCCGGTGGGATGTGATGGCTTCAAATAGCACGAAAGGATTTTCATCAAAGCCCTAGAAACTAGCACAGCTGTCAAGTCTCAATGGGGCTGATTCTCAACTTACAATGAACATTTTTTTGGATGTATTTTTAATTTGAGAACATGGGAAACATTTTAGGAAAGAGTTCCAAGTATTTTGCTGTTCTTTTCAGAAGGAATTTTTTCCATCTTCTTACTTGAAATAATGGAATAGTTGTTATTTTTCTAAAGTATGCTAATTTCACACATGGAGTTAGATCCTTAAATGTGTGAGATTACTCACAATATGTAAAATTACATATGATCCTAGATAAGACAGTGTAAGCCGCAGTAAAATATTAGTGAAACTTATCTATACTACTACCTTCCTTCTCTTTAAGTGAGCAAATCAATATATTTAAATTCTCCAGATTGAAGTGTTGGGGATTACCAAATTACCCTTTTAAAAAGATTCCTACATGAAGTTTTTCTGTGAAATAGTACGATAAATGCTTTATTGCACTACTTTTCTTTTTCCAGAAACAAAATGAAACTAACAGCTGTAGACTACATGACCATGACTCACAGGATGGTACTAAGTTCTGTACATCATGGCTGCCAAGTGGCATCATAATGTCAGATATTGAAAGAAACTCTGCCTAATCTCTCTGACCACAAGTATGGGTGGGACATTTTTCCTACAACAAAGTACTTCCAAAATGCCTGAGATGTGGGATAGTATGAAATTCAGACAGGCTAAGCAGCTGCTTGACTCTGAGAACCTCCAGTAGAGCTGAAATTACCAGTACTCCTTGGACAGACACTCCCCAGAAACTGAGTTTTGATGGGATCCTGAAGAAAAGATATCCTCAGTAGACTTAAAAGCTCTGGAGTTTTTCCCCCAGTCAGTTCCTCACCACCACACACCCAGTGAGTTTACTGAGAAAGATTGGCTATTCAACCAGCTGCTGAGCTTGGATGAGGGAAGAAGGAAATTAATCATCTATGTGTTCCTAACCTTTGAGTTTAGCCCAAGGCTGGAGCTTAGTAGGGACCAGACATTTGCTGAATTGTAGAACCCTAGGGGAAGGGAGAGGCTTCGGTTGGCTGACTCTATGTTGAGGTCTTGCTTTCTGCAGCTGTGAATGTGTGTGTCCTAGAAGACTGAGAAAGAAATTATTCACTACAGTGTGAGACATTTTTCCACTTGGTCAAACTTATTGCTCAAGATTGGAAAAATAATACTTGTATGAAGTTTCTAGTGGTATAAAATTATAATATACCATTAAAGTTAGACTTACAAATTGGCAAGTGCTTAAGCTTATTATTTTGAGGCTGGGAAAAAAAATCCTCTGAACTGGATATGTCTCCTCCTCCTGCCTGTGTTTCTGTCTGCCTCTAACCAGAAATGTCACTATCAATAATCTGTTGCCTGAGGTTACTTATGGTCTCTACCCCTCTCTCTCAAAAATTCCTGTATCTAGAAATGCAAATGATTCTAGTCATAGTAAAAGGGTATGTTAGTGAAACAAGGAAAGTTGGTACTTAGAAAAGTAGTAGGTAATTTAAAAAAAGATAGTACAGCCGAGTGTAAAGGGGACTTTTTTGACCATATACATCCCGCCTACTTATTAACCAGGAGTGCAGTTATAATATATTAGATACATAATAACCAAAGACTACAACTAGGAATATCCCAGAAAGTGAAAAACGCCAATCATAGGGTAATATTTCTTTCTTTCTTTCTATTTTTTTTTTGGTCTTTTTGAGACAGGGTCTCCCTGTAGCCAGCTGTCCTGGAACTCTCTATGTAGACCAGGCTGGCCTTGAACTTACAGAGATCCGCCTGCCTCCGCCTCCCGAGTGCTAGGATAAAAGGCATGCGCCAACTAAATTACAAATATGTGGCCTAATTTACTTTGGTAAATTTTGTATATTTTCAATAATTTATTTTCCTCTTAAAATATTTTCAAATGGCAAATGATACTGTGTATTTATGAGCTACAGTATGATCTTTTGATTACTAACTTATCTTTTTTTGCAAAAAATATGAAAAATGTATTCTTTTGAGACGGGTATTCATGATGTAGCCCCAGCTGGCCTGGAACTCACTATGCAGACCAAATTGGCTTTGACCTCACAGAGATCCATCTGCCTCTCCCTCCTGAGTGCTGGGATTAAAGGCCTGTACCACCACACCCAGCCCCCCCAAATGTACTTTTTTTTTAGCAATTTTTTACTATACGTTATTATTTATTCTGATCAACATGTAGTGAATTTGATTACTACAATTTTTTTCTTGTTTAAAATTACACCCTTTAATCAATATTTTCCCTGTCTCTATCCCCACCCGCCTTCATCCTCTGGTACCCATTTTTCTATTGTTTCTTAAGACCAACTTTTATTTCACATGTAAATAAGATTATATAAGATTTGTTATTTGTATCTTATTTATTTCACATAGAAATACCATTCTTCAGTTCCACCCATGTTGCTATAACATAATTTCCTTATTTCAATGTTGTACAGTATTTCCTTATGTATACATGGCACATTTTTTAACCCATTCACCTATTTTGAGGCACATTGCTTTAATATCTCGACTATTTGAATAATCATGAAAGTAGAAGAAGAATGTGGATATCTGTCTTCAACATACTGACTTCAAGTATTTGGATATATTCTCAGACTTGGAATTGCTGGGTCATATGTTTCTATTTGAGCTTCTTGATGAAATTCTATGCTATTTAAAAATATTTCATTGATTCTTTGAGAAATTGATACATGTGTTTTGATCATATTCCTGCTCCCCTCCCCATCACCCTTTAGACCTATTTATTCCACCTTCCTAACCCTGCTCATTTCAACTCCTCCATTTTTTAGTATTTTTAATTTTCAAAAGTGACTGCATTGATTTACATTCCCACCAGAAGTGTGCAAGGTTTCCTTTTCTATATAGTTTCTTTGTTTTGGCTTTGGACTGGAGCAATGCTGAAACATTTGTGTGGGCAAGTCAGAGAGCTCAGGGTTGGACTTAACAGTAAAGCTTCCTGAATGTCTCACTTGAGAACTGACTTTCAAAGAAGATTCAGTTCAGTGGTTGCAAAAGTCTTGCATGGCTTTCCTGAGATATTTTTGAAGTTTTGGTAACTGAATTTTTTAAAACAAGAGAGTGATATTTAAGACTAACAGAACCAAATCAGAAGCCTACTTCTTAATTTTGGATCACACTCATTAAAATCAATAGCAAACAGAATCAAGGTTTGGGAGATATAATGTTCTTTTTTTCCTCAGAATTTATTATAATGAAATATCTGAGTTAAGTCTTTTTATTTTCCTTATTGAGCTAGCCAATTTTGCCTTAATAAATCTGAGCAAGTGGTCTTTTAACAAGCTGTTTAACATATAAATGTTTTTAGTTTCACAAGAAATTGAGCTTTTCCTAATGATAAGATCTTTCCAAACTACAGTATGTTATTAAAAGCAGAAAGTTGAAATTGATCTAATATCATTAATTAGACCACAGACATTACTTATATTCACAAGTTTTGACAAATAATCATATGTATGTGTTTAGTTCAATAAACTTTTATCATATACTTTTATCACATTTGTATAAACAACATCACAATTGATATTTGGAACTCTTTCCTTATCAGAAAAGTTCTTTTGTACTATACCTTCACATCAGATCCTGTCCTAGTCTATAGCACTTCGATAACTTTACAAATAACACTTTTTCATCTCAATTTTTAATTTTGAGCATATCATATTAATGCGGTTAAACACTATATAATCCTTTCAGATTGGTCTTATGCACATGTCTTGTGTCTTTTAAAATGTATGCTCTTCCTTATTTCTATTGGTTCACTTCTGTTGATAAACACAAAATCAGCATGGGGATATGCCAAAGATTATTTATTTATTCATCCACTAAAAATATTTAGTTGTTTCTTTTCTTTTATGGGTATTACAGATAAAACTGCAGAGAGCATTTATGTACATATTTCTTAAGGATATGGTTTTATTTTTCTGTGGTATCTACTTAGAAGTAGAATTTCTAAACTTTATAGTAAGTGCACTTTTAGTTTTTCCTTTCAAAAGGTCTCAAATATCGTTCCAAAGCAGTTATCCCTTTCCTAAGAAAAGTAATGTATGAAATTGTTCTGCCTCCTCATCAGCATTTGCTGTTGTCAATATTTTATTTTAGTCTAGTATGTATGAAATGATAACTCATTATGATTTTAAATAGAATTTCTCTAAAGGTACTAATGTTGAGCGCATGTGAGCATGTGTGTGTGTGTGTGTGTGTGTGTGTGTGTGTGTGTTTGTGTGTGTGCAATTTTCACAGTTGAATTTTAGTGAAATATTTGTTCATGTTCTTTGGCTGTTTTCTAGTTACATTTGTTTTCTTCATGTTCAGTGTTAAGAGTTTTCTGTATTATATATATT